TTGGTTTGGAAAAGACCCTGGCTCAGTGCTGAAGGGCTGTGGACATGCGAGTTTCCAATGCCAGCAGTAAGGTGTGCACTCAAGGAAGATGAGGAACGGCTCCCAAGGAACCATGTCTCCCACATCCCATGCTCTAGTGGGACTCTCCTGACTTCTGCACAGCGAGACTGCAAAGGTGCTCACTTCTTTCCAGCCTGGGTTCCCACACCGCAAAAATGGAGAAAATAACCTTCCTCTGACCTTCTTTACAGGATAGTATATAGACAAATGGCACTGGACGATACCTCGAACTTTTAGGAGAAGAAACCATAAACATGGGTAGGTTTCTTTCCAAATATCATGGGAGGCACAGATGCCGTAAGAAAAAATTGATAAATTTATTTTAAAAAGTGGCAAAAAAGACAAAAACTAAAAAAAAAAAAAAAAAAAACCCCAAAAACCCAAACAACCCTTGGAAGAAGATGTTTACAGCACCTATTTCAGAGACAAGGCAGATTTCTTTGACACACAATAAATGCTTAGAAATAAAAAGGAAAAGCTCAGTATCTTAGAAGATAAATGGTCAAAAGCTATGGACAGAAAATTGAAATACCATTTTCTACTTGTCAGATTGGCAAAGATCAAGGATTCTGAGAATTCATTCTGTTGGCAAGGGTGGGAGAAAGTGGACATGAGCACATTGTTGACTGGAATGTAAACTGGTACAATTCTGCGGAAGGCAATGGACAAAACTTATCAAAATTAAAGAGTACACTCCCTTTCACGCATCAGTTCCACTGTTTAGAGTTTATCTTGCAGATTAAAAAAAAATACACAGTCGGCCCTCAGTATCCATGGGGAGTTGGTTCTAGGACCTCCCTCGAATACCAGAATCCATGATGTTCGAGTCCCTGATATGAAATAGTGCAGTATTTGCATATAACCTATGCACATCCTCCTGTGTATTTTAAATCATCTCTAGATTACTTAAAATATCCAATACAATGTAAATGTTATTTAAATAGTGCTTATACTGTATTGTTTAGGGAATAATGACGAGAAGACAAAGTTTGTACATGTTCAGTACAGACACATTTTTTTCAAATATTTTTAATCCAAGGTTGGTTAAATCCATGGATGCAGAACCCGAGAATGTAAAGGGTAGACTGCGTACAGGGATACTTATTGAAGCATTATCCGTAATGGCAAAATACTAGAGATACTTAGCTCTCAGAGCGGGGGAGCTCAAACCACATAAGGTAAAACCCGACAGTGCAGTGGAAGCTGTTTTCTTGTAAATTTACCTCTTAAAAGGCTATGTGAATGTATGATATGATTCTACATCTTGACTCAAGCAGTTCTACATATGGACTCTTTGAAAGAGTCAGTCTGGCACAAATTGCCATAATAATCTAAATGTTATCAGCTGAATTTAAGATTCAAATCTAAATGTTAACCAGTAGAGTATTGGTCAAATGACGGTCTAACCATACAGTCGACTTATACTCTGTAGCCGTGACAAAGTATAAGTCACCTTACAGGTGCTGATGTGCACTGACCTACCAGGTAGCACATTCAGAGGGCGGTGGGGGACAAAGTACAGCGTGTGAGATTTCTGGAAGATGCACAGAAGTGGTGACAGTGGTTGCCTGTGGCGGGGGTGACTGAGGCTCACGGATAAGAGGGAGCCTTTACACTTTGTGGCTGTTCAATTGTTTGCCATGGACCTATGGAAGCGAGCACCAATCACACAGAAAGTGGGGACCTGCTGTGGGCAAGCATCCCTCATCTCCTGGACCTGTCCCCTTACAGAGCAGCTGGTGGCACAGGTATCCTATTCACTATCTCCTTGCCTTGCACAATGACAGACAAGTGGCCTAGGGACTCTCTGCTATGATAGATTTCTCTGCTGGAAATCCAAGGTCATCTCCAAGTGACCTTTCCTGCAAGCCTCAAATCTGGGTCCACCTCCACCATGGGTTCCCGTCACGAGCTCCCAGTGTACTCAGTTCACCAGAAAAAAACCACCAGGAGAGAACAGGCCCACAAATGCCACCCAGACACCATGGCTTTGGGTATCAGACCTTGATCTAACTAATTTCTTCTAAAGCTTACAAAACTTATGGGTTCTGGCAGTATTGTGGGAGCTGATGATGGACACAGGAAATAGAGGTTACCTTGTTTTCATGAACTGCCAAAAAATTGAGTCCCATTTATTTTGTCTCTCAGAGCAGTGAGGCTCAAATCACATAAGGTAAAACCTGGCAGTGCACTGGAAACTATCTGTCTTCTCAATTTTCCTCTTGAAGGACTATGTGAATATACGATACGATTCCAAACCTTGACTCAAGCAAAGTCATTGCTTTGAAATAGTCAATATGGCACAAATTCCAAAAAGATCATAATTGACTGCATTCATTCGTCCTACACATAATGCTCACCGTATGCATACAGCACAGTTTGCTCAGGCCCTACAGGGTCTACAGTCACTTTCCATAGTTCAATTCCACCACCTTCTAGAATAGTAAAGCCACACCCATTCGCTAGGAAGGAGAACTTGACTCTGTCCTATGGGCCACGCAATGAGAAATGGATCTTGTGTGATTATATTAAAATTCAAGGACAGCTCCAAGAAGGCTGGGCGTGGTGCCTCACACCTGTAATCCCGGCACTTTGGGAGGCTGAGGCAGGCAGATCACTCAAGGTCAGGAGTTCAAGAGCAGCCTGGCCAACATGGTAAAGCCCCATCTCTTCTAAAAATACAAAAATCAGCAGAGCATGGTGGCAGGTGCCTGTAATCCCAGCTATTTGGGAGGCTGAGACAGAAGAATCACTTGAACCCGGCAGCAGAGGTTGCAGTAAGCCAAGATTGCGCCATTGCACTCCAGCCTGGGCAAAAGAGTGAGACTCCATCCCCACCAAAAAATAAAATAAAAGGATAGCTCCAAGCTGAATCTTAGCCATCAAGTTCTTCAATATTCTAATAATCAGCTACAAAATTTCCTCCCCAACAGTCATGGCAGGCCATGCAAAGTGGGGCAAAGTCTCTGGATAACTGAGTCGGCGGCAGCAAGACACCAGGCGGAGCTCTGCTGGAATATGTTGACTCTCAGGTCAGTACGTTTTCCAAGAAACAAGCAAGAGAAGCACCGCCTTTGAGGTCAGGGGAGGTAGTTCCACCCTGGAGGAATGGCCTTCAGCCCTTCTGGTGTTTTAGACCTCGGCACTTCAGAAACCCAACTTTGAGACCAATTTGAAAGGCAACTCTGCCCCTACACCAGTCCCACAAGTTCAGGTTTACCTGGCCTGGACACTAAACCATACTCCTTCCCTTTCTGTTCTCTGTAGTCGTTGTTCACAGGGGTGACTGACTAGGACAGGCATCAGACTTCTCTGCCAGGGACTGGGCTTTTGCATAAGGGAGCTGTGGAGGAGGCGTTACTGCTACTCGTTGGCCCTCAGAGCCAGAATGTCTGGGCCTCTCTGAGCAAGAGGCCGAATGCCGCGGGTGTCTGCAGCAGAGGAGAATAACTGTGAATTCAGGAATCACCCCTCTTCTGTACTTCTGCTTAGAATATAAATTGTTAATTTATGGTAGTCGTTATGGCACAATTGAAGATGCCAACACAGAAAAGGCTGGCTGAGCTGGGCTCTGTGGCATGCCAAGGCCAGGTAAATCCAAACACGTTTTCAATGCGAAGGCCTGCCAGTGGTATCAAACAGGGTGGAATATCACACGATTAGCCTTGGCAAAAAAGGAGTCAACAGAAGGACAATTGGTGGATAATAAGCACCCTTCTCAGCCAAATGTGGGCTTTCACCATGCACTGTAAGAGTCAAGCCTGAGAAGGCCCAGGTAGGGCTGTACGGATGAAGTGATGAAACCTAAGGAGTGGAATTACCTTTTATGTTGAAACATAAATATGTAAGTAAAAACAGCCATTATTTCTTGGAAGTGCAGTGCAGTGGGATTCTCATTATTAAAATGCCTGCACAGGCCAGGTGCAGTGGCTCACGCCTGTAATCCCAACACTTTGGGAGGCCGAGGTGGGTGGATCACCCGAGGTCGGGAGTTTGAGAACAGCCTGGCCAAGATGGTGAAGCCCCATCTCTACTAAAAACACAAAAATTAGCTGGATGTGGTGGTGGGCGCCTGTAATTCCAGCTACTTGGGAGGCTGAGGCAGGAGAATTGCTTGAACCCAGGAGGCGGAGGTGGCAGTGAGCTGAGATTGCACCACTGCACTCCAGCCTGGGTGACAGAGCAAGACTCCGTCTCAAAAAAAAAAAAAAAAAAGCCTGGACACTGCATTTATTTTTGGGCTTTTTAGTGGTGCAGAAGCATCGCTGAGCCAGCAAAATGCCCTGGGAACTGGGGAAGGGGCACTCATGGCCCCCTTCTGGGCCAGTCTCCAGGTCAGAGGCTGCTGCTGTCTCTCTATGAAATTACGGAGAGAGCCATCAGAGAGGGGCAGAGGCGCACAGGAACATGGCGGCACCAAACACACGGCCCCTTCCCTGGCTTTATAAAGACATCTGTGTCCTTACCACCACCTGGCCCTCTCGCAGGGACCCCAAGAATTCACTGCCAAGATGTGCCAGGCATTGCACTCACCAACCCCGGGAGATGGGTGTTATTCCTAAGCCCATCACACAGAATTGGAAACTGAGGCTGAGTTAAATACTTTAACTCAAATCTATCCAGTTGGTACAGGTATGACTCCAAGTCACTCACAAAGACAGTCCCTATAGCACAAACCCAGTACCCCACATGGCAAACTCCCCAAGAATCCTTAGAGTCAAATCCAGAAAACTTTCTTAGATGTCTGCTCTGTGCCAGGGCACCGAGGCAGGGGAGAGGGATCAGGGCATACAGAGTCACTCGTGGATCCTGCAGAGAAGCAGTAACATTTCGGTGCATGACTGAAGCTTTGAGCTTTCCTGATGAGGGGTGTGGGCTAAACAGGCAAGCGCCCAGGCTTTGGCACAGCAGCAGGTTGTGGGTAGGGGGCGGAGTGGTACCTGCATGGAGCCAGATCTGTGCCAGCGTCATCCAGGGGTGTAGCGGGCCCTGCTTAGGGGCGCTGCTCTGCAGAGACGAAGCCACTTCCGACAGTGCCTGCTCCACTCTTGAGGCTGCTACTGATGTGGCATGGACGGAGCCTGTGAGAGGTTTTTGAGAAGACTCTATCAGGAGCGAAAGAACAGACCCAACCAATCAACCCCTTCCCACACAGACAAGTGTGGAACACACACACCCCTTCCCCCAGGATGTTTCTAAGATTTACTGTCCACAAAGAAATGTGGGCAATCATGGCCTGGGGCCTTAGTTTCCATCCTTAGGCTTTAGCTAATCTTTTTGTCAACAAACAGAGCACATGCCCCCTCCAGGAGCTCAGCCTAGCAGCGTGAGTGCTGGGAGATGGGGGGCCAGATACATAGCTGTGACGATACTAGTGTTTAAAAATCACATAAATGAAGCGCTACAAAGGTACATTACAAAGCGCCCCTGTAAGGGCCTAAACCTAGAAACTGAATCAGGGTCAGGGGAGGAATACACTTGCCTCCTGGGGTAGCATTTGGAGTACATGTACTGGCCATTCTCAAGACAAACCCAGCAACTTCCCAGCCTTGGAGAGGTGGGCTACACCCTCAGTTTAGAACCATATTCTAAGGCATGACTTAAAAACTGCAGAAAAAAGCACACTTTTGCCCTGTGTATAAGCAGATGTCTATCCTTAAGGCTAGACTAGCAGGGGATGGGATGGGATGGGTTTGTAGCAAAGACTCCTGGGGCTCAGAATATGCACCTGCCTGATTACTCCGTAAAACCTGCTGCCCTGAAAGGCTAAGGACACGGGTCGACTGAGCATGTTCACTAGTCAAGGGATAGGTGTAGTTCACAAGTCAAAATGCAAAACTCATTTCTCTTCACGTTGACCTGTTGGAGGTACTGATGATCAGAGACCACCTCCTTAAACAGAGGCTTGCTTCCCACCTCTTTCTAACATTCACTCTTGGAGATGTGGTTTTAGAATCGATAGCAGGATTCTCAGTCGTTTCAAATTTGAGACTGTTAATATTTCTATTCACCTGCATCATTCTTAATTTGTACTTCATCAGAAAGCTTAGTATGGAGATAAACATTCCAACACTGAGAATGGTAACTACCAAATCATCATAAAGTTTAAAATAGTAATAATCTATAAAGATAAATGCTGACTACAAAATAAATGGAGTTATATTCTTCATAATACAAAATTGTGAGCATAAAAATAATTTCAGTTGCGCTTTGGAACGCACCCATCATCTATAAATTTAAAGAGTATTATTCACAGCAACAGATGCGCCATCCATGTTATGTTTTGATTGCTCCAATATAATGGTAACATGGATGCCTCTAAATGCACCTGAATCCTTCGGTGGGGCCTTGGTGGATGGAAATCAGAGTGGGCCAACAGTGCCCACAAGGATGACCAAGAGGAGAGCAGCCTCTGGAAAGGTATAGCAAGTCCTGCTGCACAATACGGAATTCAGAGGCTGAGTTAAAAGAGTCTAATTGTCCAGGCACGGTGGCTCATGCCTGTACTCCCAGCACTTTGAGAGGCCAAGGTGGGTGGATCACCTGAGTTTTGGAGTTCGAGACCAGCCTGACCAACATGGAGAAATCCTGTCTCTATTAAAACACAAAAATTAGCCAGCTGTGGTAGCACATGCTTGTAATCTCAGCTACTCGGGAGGCTGAGGCAGGAGAATCGCTTGAACCTGGGAGGCGGAGCTTGCAGTGAGCCGAGATCGTGCCATTGCACTCCAGCCTGGGTGACAGAGCAAGACTCTGTCTCAAAAAAAAAAAAAAAAAAAAAAAAAAGGTCTAATTGATGGCATATGAAGGGAGAACCTAGGAAGTGTGGCTAAGAATCTATCCTTGTTTAGACAAAGTATGTCTAACTACTATTTTTTAAAAATCTAATAGCAAAATGATTAAACTGCTGTTGAAATTTCTTATTTGTCACCTTTTTATGGAAAGTAATATTCTAACTTTGATAACAAGGACTTGATGTAGTTTCCCTGAGACTTTTAGTAGCAATGATAGTTAAATAAATGAGTAGCCTAGAGGTTGCTGCTGCCCTATTCTGCCGTTGCCAAGCTGGCTACCTTCTCACTGGCTTGAACAGTGGTTCTCAACCTTAACTTCACATCCAAATCATTTGGGATTTAAAAAATCATGAGGTTATAGCTACATCCCAGACCAACCACATCACTCAGTCTAGGGGTGAGGACTGGCATCTTCGTTAATCACCCCAAGTGATTCCAATGTGCAGCTAAGAATGAGAACCACTCGCCTGGAGAGACAGGAAGCAAATGTTATGAATGGTCAAAAAAAAGCCTGTACATGGCCCAGGCAGCCTGAGCTCTCCTGCTTCGCTGCAGCTCAAGGGTCACCTGGAGCACAGAGTTCCAGGAAGATCTTGTTCTCTAGAACAAGGGTTCTTAGACTTTTTGGTCTCAGAATCTCTTCAGATTCTAAAAAATCATTGAAGACCCTAAAGAGATTGTTTATATGAGTTATGTCTATTGATAGTCACATTAGAAGTCAAAACTGAGACATGTTTAAAATATTCACTAATTCATTAAAAAATAACGACAACAAATTACTGCTCTGGAAGCATTCTGTACCTTTTCTACCAGGTTCTGTGAATCTTTTGCTACAGGAATTTGTGACTTTTGGAGGGGCTAATTTTGGTTTTCGGATTAACTGTTTTGTTTGGTCCACAAATAAATAATCAGAACTACTGCCAAAGTTTCTTCTCTGTGTGATATTTATACACAACTAAATCAATTAATTCCTAGCACAATATATTTTACTATGAATAAGGTCTGGCAGATGATGATGATGATGGTGACGATGATGAAAGCAGTGGTGGTTGTCAGTTTTAGAGAACATACCATGCTTCAGGCACTGCGATTGGCACTTTATATGTACTAATCTTTAACCAGAATGAAAACCCTAGTCTGATTCCAAATCTGTCCTCTAAGTCCAGCTCTGATGCCACCTCCTACAGGAAGGCTGTTGTGAGCCTTCCACTTCTCCCTACAATGAGTGAGACCCTCTGGCCCCTGGTGCTTCTATGAGTTTGTCACTAACAATGCACAGACCACAGGTTTTAAAGTTAATGTTCACTGTCTCCCTTATTAGACTGTGTGGGTCTAGAAGATGGGAACTACGTCCTCAGTCTCGGGATTTTCAGGGACTGACAATACCAGACCCATACTAGGCATTAGGTAAATGAGTGTGCAGGGAGTGAACAAGTGCTGTCAGTAGACAAGTCACTGTCTGAAATTCAGAAGAGGGCGCCCCCTCTCTGGATGCACGTCTGTGTGCTCCACTCTTCCCCTCTAACAACGGCTCAGAGGCCGGAACCTTCACCCACTCAAAGGCCACTTCAGTATAGTGCTCATCACTTCCAACAATCCAGACTAAAAATGACAGTGGTGAATAGTTCCAATTAAACACGGACGTTTCCCCTCTCTAACGTAAAATTAAAATATAGAGAAGGATAACAGGTTTATAAGAAATAATGCTTTTCTTCCTATCAATTTCTTGGTACACACATTTCACCAGGGCAGAGAGCCTTCATGTTCTGAACCAGGGATGAATATTAGGGCACTCACATAATAATAGCAGATAACTGACAATAGTGAAATTAGATAAGTTGGTATCTAATATTTCTGAAAATAAACAACAAATAAAAGTCTTCCGTTGAATTAGTATTGGAAGGAGGGGGAAGGAAAAACATCACTTTAATCAGAATGGATACAGCTGGTTAAAAAACAAAAAACAAGCAGGCCAGGCGCAGTGGCTCATGCCTGTAATCCCAGCACTGTGGGAGGCCAAGGCAGGCAGATCACCTGAGGTCAGGAGTTTGAGACCAGTCTGGTCAACACAGTGAAACCCTGTCTCTACTAAAAATACAAAAATTAGCTGGGCGTGGTGGTGCACGCCTATAATCCCAGCTACTCAGGAGGCTGAGGCAGGAGAACTGCTTGAACCCCAGAGGTGGAGGCTGCAGTGAGCTGAGACTGCACCATTGTACTCCAGCTTGGGCGACAAGAGTGAGACTCTATCTCCAAAAAAAAAAAAAAAAAAAAAAAAAAAAACCCTGTATTTTATTGTTTCATAGAACTGAAATGGTGACTATACAGACACTGGATTTTGATTTATCAGGTAAACAGCTGGAAACACTGGCTCTAACCAGCATATTTTTAAACAGCCCCTTTCTTTCTCACCACAGCAAGCCTGTTCCCGCATCATACATCAGAATGAGAGCACTATTAACTTAAGCTGGAAATGGGCAAACTGAGGCTTGAAAAAGGAATCAGAAGTTACACTATAGGACATATTTCCAATTTGAAATCCAAGGCTCTGCAGAAATAAATTTCCAAATAATCAGGTTCAATAGGTGAGCCAGGGAGAGCACCTGGGCTGCTGTGCATGTCTCATCTGCCACCCGGCTTCAAGAGGTCCCGCCACTGCCAGAGCCCACAGGGCTGTGTGCCGTGCAGCGGCTGCCGTGCTTCATCTAGGAGACAGCGTGCCTCTCTTCCACAGTCACGGGACACAGGGGCTCTGAAAAGCCACTGCCAAGACCCACTGGACGAGGGCTGACGTAGGCAGGTGAGAGCTCGCTCTGAAATTTAGCCCAGGTCTGTGGTCTAATGGCCCGAATGGTGCAGGGGCATGTGACGTCTAGGAGCGGAGGCCATCTGCATTTCCACAAGCCAATGGCTTTCCTTGCACTCCTACCTAGATCCTCAACAGAAAATGTTATATTGGACACTTGATACAGAGGCAAAGTGCCTCTGTATCCTTCTAGGCTCCTCTCTCCATCACTGTGTGTGGGGGTAAGAACGGGGAAAGGCAGCCGAGGACCCAGGAACTGTGGTGGGTCAAGAGGACCCACAGCCAAGAGGATCAGGAACCAAGAGGAACCCAGGTCACTGACCTCGGGGTACCACGAGTCCAAGCTCTGAACCCCTCCTGAGGTTTTCTGACCCATGCTCCTATCATTCACTGAGGGCTGTTGAGAAACCCTGCCTGCCACAAATAGGACACTGGGGACAGCCAGCTCAAATTGCCTTTGTAGGTGAAGCTTCTCCAAAAATCCTTTTTCCAACGCACATGACACCTATGGTGAATTTCACATAGACCTCGGCTGTGGCAATCACATGTGAGCCCTATTCCACCAAAGTTCATCATCCAAAGGGATCCCAGCACCAATAATTCTGTTAAGAAAAGGCACAGGCTGGGTGTGGTGGCTCATGCCTGTAATCCCAGCACTTTGGGAGGCTGAGGTGGGTGGATCACTTGAGGTCAGGAGTTTGAGACCAGCCTGGCCAAAATGGCAAAACCTCATCTCTACTAAAAATACAAAAAAAAAATTAGCCGGGCCTGGTGGCTCACGCCTGTAATCCCAGCTACTTGGGTGGCTGAGGCGGGAGAATCGCTTGAACCCAGGAGGCGGAGGTTGCATTGACCTGAGGTGGCACCATTGCACTCCAGCCTGGGTGACACGGTGAGATTCTGTCTCAAAAAAAAAAAAAAAAAAGAAAGAAAAGAAAAGAAAAGGGCATAACTGATAAATTAAGTGGCTTAGTTATGCTTCATATCCCTGTATTTGTCACACGCAGTATTGCCAAATAAATAGCATATATTATATTCCAGCGCTCCTTCTAACTATCTGGTGGCCTCAGTTAAGTGGCTGCAGTCTGAAGGACCCCTCGCCTTCCCTCTCCCCTCAGAGCACATAGAAGATGAGCTGGATCTCAGATGGAATCCTGCCCACCCGGTGACTTGGCAAGCATTCCAGTGCCAGGAACAATGGATAGCCACATTACATGATGTGTGAAAAACATCCTCTACCAAAAGAAAGACGTCAGCCGACCACCTCACACGAGGCTGGCAGGATTTGGGGCAGCTCCTTGCTTCCCAGCCCTGGAGAACTCACTCCATGCCTCATGGGCGTGAACGTGGGAGAACAACGGCACGTGGCCGCACCCCAAGCCCCATCTCTGTTTGGCACCCACATTCTTTCTGTCCAATGCTGCAGCGGCAGACACCTGCCCTCCCCATATTTTTCTGACAAGTAGCTGAGCCACTGCAGTTGTGGGCATGCAGAAATCACCTGCTGCTAATGAATCTCTGTACCTGTTTTCCCTTGACCTTGAAATGATTCCAAATTCTCTGTCAACTTATTTACCTTCCAATTCTTGGAAGGTGTGCCCCCAAAACAATTAAAATAATAAGAAAAAGCAGCAAGCAGTTCCATCTCTTAAAGAACCTGAATATTAAGCAGCAATCAGAATGACTCAGCATTCTGTCAGCTAGCTTTGCTTTAGAATTTTCATTTCTTAACAGGAAAAAAAAATTCTGTTTCTCAAGATAGGGCTTGGAAATAAATCAGTCCAACACTGCAGACTGCTGGCAGCTCTGTGCCCTTCTGTCTCTGTGTGTCACCTGTGCTTGACGAACCAGAATGTCCTGGGGGCTGAGGATGGGAGGAGGCGGAGGAGCTAGTCATGGCTGTCTCTTATTTCTTGAAGGGAGAGGAAGAGGCGTGAGTGTCCACTCTCACTTCGGCCCTCAAAGCAGGCATATTTCTCCATACCTTTAAAAAAACATAACTGCTGTTCCCTCATTTCCCTGGCGCCCGGGAGTTAGGACAATTCCCATCTTTGCTGTAGGGTAGTCCTGCTTTCTGAGGAGGCGACTCCAGGTGGTGGCTCCTTGCACCGCGCTGCCACAGCTCTCCTCTCCATCTGCTGCTTCCCTGGGAACTGCCCTCGCGCCTTGTGTCCCCCAGTGTGACAGCAGGGGCGGGGCCGCTGCCCACCCAGTCCCACCAACCATGAGGGCTCCTGCTGTGGGTTCCTCTGATAAATAAATCACCTTGGTCACCATTCTAGTAGACACTTCCGTTTTTCACCAAGTGAAAAAAGGATTAAGACTCATAGCCCCAAGAAGGGATCAGTTTCCCACTGACTTTCACAGAATAGCAAGCACCGTTTAAACCTGACAGCACGAGTCTTGTCCTGAGAGGGGAAAGCTCTTTCCAGGGAAGGACCCCAGTAAGGCAGGGAGGGCCGGGGACATGTCGTCACTGGTGGGCATGCGGGGCTAGCGCAGCATGCTGCTGGCGGGTGCCGGCAGGGCCAGGCGGTCACACGGAAAGCATGGAGGGAAGCCGTTCACACGCATGCGGGAAGGTGCCAGCTGTCAGAGCGAGCCTCCGCCGGTGGCTCTGCACTAGAGACAGTACCTTCTGGAGGACTACATTGGGCAGATGCTTCCATCTCCACCTGAACCCTCCCCGATGTATATTCATGAGGCTATATCTCGGGGTGGAAGTGCCTTCTGCCTGGGGAAGGCTCTCTGAGCCTCCAAATGCCTGACTGCCGGCGTCCGGGGGAAAGCCTCCCACGTTGGGATGATATTCTAATGCTGGACACACCCCCCAGCTTCTACCTGAGTGCCACTTACTGGTGGCTTGTCAGTCTCCTATCATTCCACTCAATCTTGTTTAAAGAAAGATACTACAGAACTAATTAAGGAGAATTATATTAAATTAATTTTAGTTTAATTAAAATAGTAAAAAAAGGTTCTATATTAGGGCTGAATTTTTAAAATTACCACCCCTCAAAAATGGTATGGTCATCACAGAGAGATGTTCCCATATATACATAGATTTCTTTTAAAGCTACTTTATTCTAGTAAGCAGGAACAGAGACTAAAACCGCCTAATGGACTAGTCACCTCCTGATCATGATATACATTCTGGAGTGTTAGAAAATGCAACTCAATAAAATGCTAGTCATAATGGAAAGAGAAAAACTTCACTACTCTCTTGAATTCCTTTCTCAATCTTATTTTATTTTAGAGGGATGTTCTTTCATTAATGTGTTTACTCTTTTCTCTTGGTGACTTACTGCTAAAGAGAGCAGCAATTTCACTAGAATCAGTGATAGGAAAAATGGAGCCAAGAACTCAAGTCGGTAATCTTGACTTTAGCACGTTCTTGGAGAGGGGAATAAAACATCAGCACAGGTTTTTCTCCAAAAAGACCACTGCTAGGGCACCTGCAGGGGAGTGCCCGGGGTCCTCTAAGAAGTGATGCGCAGCATGCGGACAGCCCTGCTGGTTCCTTCCCATCCTGCTCAGCCACTTCCACTCTTCTGGTCCTAGCTGCCCAGGGCGTAACTCAGGGGGACGGCACCTGACTCGCCCTTAAAACCAGGACCCACAGCTGCCAAATCATAAGGGCAGCAGTGTACATAGAAAAACTATAGAATTTACATTTTTCCAGATGAGGAAATGAGGCCCAGGGCGATGCAGTGAGTTGCCGGCTGACTCCAGAGCTGGCCCTTGATGGTGAAAGGAACCTGGCAGGGAAATCTCTTTTATGAAGCACCTAATGTGTGATGACAACACCAACATATACCTCTTTTCTATTATGGACTGTTTTTAGGCCAGAAATGAAGGCACAACTAGGCTGAGCTGGATTTCGGAGGGTGGAATCAACTCTTAAGGGTGAGGGGCAGCATTTGCCATAAGCTAAAGGCTCCGGTCATTCAGATGCACTGGATCCCATATCCACCAGCATTTCCCCAAATACAATCCATGGAACACTGATTTCCTAGGGTGGAAAAAATGATTAAATTAGCTTGGGAACACTGGGTCAAAGTGCGGGACTTCTCAGAACATTTAATGTGGTTAAGGTGAACTATGAAGCACTAGGCAGGAGACGGACTATCGTCCAAATATATTTGACCAAAGAGAATTAGTGGTCTAAGAAACATCCTTTGGAAAATGTGACAATTCACGAATGACTTAAACACCGCCAAAAGCACTGTAAGGCGGGGCGTGATGGCTCACGCCTGTAATCCCAGCACTTTGGGAGGCCGAGGTGGGAGGATCGCTTGAGCCCAGGAGTTGGAAACCAGCCTGGGCAACACAGTGAGGCCTCCTCTCTGCTAAAAACTTAAAAATTAGCTGGGTGTGATGGCGTGTGCCTGGTGGCCCAGCTGCTGAAGAGGCCAAGGTCGGAGGCTCGCTTGAGCCCTGGAGTTCCAGGCTTCAGTGAGCTGTAATTGTGTCACTGCACTCCAGCCTGATCTACTAAGTGAGACCTTGTCTCAAAAAGAAAAAAAAAAAAAAAAAGAAAAAAAAAAAAAAAAAAAAAAAAAAAAAGCACTGATCCTACATCCAGGGAATTAAGCAATTCCTTTAAATTTTGGTAGATACAGTTTTAAGTTTTATGATGTCTGCTTATTTTCAGAAAAATTAACAGTTAGAATTGCCCTCCTATGAACAATAAAGGTTGGATTAATTACAGAAATTTCAAGATCCAACTGGTTCCCTCTACCTAAAATTTATTGGCCACCTGCCTTGGGAAGGCGGGGCATCTCATGCTTCCAATCAGTGCCAGGAGTGCTTCTCATCCACCCACTGCACACCCAGAGTTGGCCCTTTTCCCTGCAATGCCTTCTTTTGTAGTCCTTCTCAGATCAATACTGCCTCCTCATATATAAACCCAAGCTGCGCTGAATGCATGAGGCTCTCAGGAGGGATGGGCTCCAGGTGGCAGAGTGGGCAGGTGGGCAGGCAGGTGGCAGAGGGATGTCCATGTCATCTCAGCATTCTCAGCGCTCAACAACCACAATGCACATTCCATGGTGGGGGGAGTGTGATTCTGGAGGCCCTCGGAAGGATTAATAGATTGGTAAACTACTTACTAACTGAAAAAAGGGAAGGAAAACCATGAAAGTATGCTTCTGGAGAGTTGCCTTGGAACAACAGATCAAACCAAAAATTAAAACCAAGAAACAAAACATTTGAAAAATCAAAATTAAGGCTAAAAAAGCGAACAGAGTTCTAATAACCTTCCAACTGTAAGTCTGGCTGTCTAGAATCATATTTCCATTCAACAGTGGCACACATTTTTCCACTAACAATTTTTTTTTTTTAAAACCAAAGAAAGACCAACTGGGCATTCCCCTATCCATTTAAATGTTCACCCAGCACATGAAAGCTGACCCATTCATGCAATGTATTTTGTTTCCAGAGCAGGAAATTCCAAAGGGAAGGGAAAAATAATCAAACGAGCAGGTTATGGGTCTTTCCACACATTAACCCTAATCATGACTCCAGTGGTTTGTAGGGTTGGGCTAATTTTCCCTTCTATGAAGTCAAAGGGTTGGAGGGAGAAATTCACAAAACTTCAGGGCTTGACTATCTGCTTGTCCTAATGGAAAAGTTGGGACTTAAAATCATTAAATTTTAATTAAGAAATTCTACATTTGTCAGTATGTTTCCCCTCTCTACCTAAATGCTGACTCTACGGGAGGCGGTGGATTCTCGAGAGCTTCAGTCTCAGCTGAAACACCTGGTTACTGGCTAGACACTCCCTGAGGATGGAAAGATGACTTCAGCTTATTAAGAATAAACAACTGAGCACTGCCCGGGACACACTCCATTCAGCAGAAAGCCCAGTGGGTGCTCATCACCCCAGAAAGTCACTGATTAATCAGATATAAAGTGCCTCCCCTGAAGAGTCGGCACTTCAATCTTCAAAAGGTTTCAGGAGCACAGGGCTCCCAGGATGCAACACGATAAATATGGGCAGGTGGGTCTGTTGTGCAGAAAAGAGTGGATGGGGCAGTGGGAACATACCATGTTATTCTAGAATGGAAAGATCCCATTTTCAGACAATAAACTCAACAAAAGTCAATGTAAAGAATTTTTCTGGAAAAATCGAAGTTGGCAATTGCCAGTAGGCATTGTATTAAGAGAAAATGCCTTTTTTGAGAAATGAATTAAAAACAACATACACGGTGTTTAAACAGTATCTTCATCTTCCATTTCATAAAACTGGGATTGCCATTAAAACAAAGTTCAGAATACTTAATATGCAGATAAGTACGGTCAGCGGGCTTCTCGGCGTGGATGGTTTATTTTAAATGGTAATCTAACTTCTGCCCTGGCTTTGTGTGTGTGAGAGCTGAACACAGCGGGTGAGCCATCCGAAAGATGTGCACATTAGAGAAAGTGGTTCTTTCTGGCAGCAGTTCCCCTTAAGAGCTTTTGTTCAGCATATAACTGGGCATTTGGAACAAAGATGAGCCCTTATAAATCAGAGACACAGAGATTAAATTTTCTGGCAGTGCTGGCAGTGAACATTAAATAAATGAGCAAAAGAAAACAAGGACGGATTCCCCGGGCCAGATTCACATTTAGGTCCCATTTAAGGTTTTACCAACCAGTGTTCATTTTCACACAGGGATCTTTCTTGTTGCTGTTCATGGACAGGTTGTGGAACTCCCTAAAGCTGACTTTCAAAACTTCTGTGTTATCTAAAAGCAAGATTAGACTAAAATACTGTTCAATTTCTCCACACGGTTTCACGACACAAACCCCACATTTTCCTTCACTGCAAATGGAAAACAGTTTACAGCACTGCTTCTCAAAATGTGGTCTAAAACCCACTGGCATTGGAATCACAGGGGAGCAATTCATAAATCCAGATTCCCAGGCCCCACCTCAGGCCTCGTGAATATAAAGTTGGGAGTGGGGACCAGGGGATCTGCTGCTTTAAAGGTTCTCTGGGTGGTTTTAATGCATGGCAAAGTTTGAGAACCACACATTGAGCGGGCTGTGGCCCTGATCTTTAAAATACGGCCTTGGTGATTATACACTGGTTGAATTCATTTCTAAATTGAAAACAGGAGTTTTTAGGATTACATTATTACTTGCGAAATGTTGTAATTTGCCTTTTAATAGGATTAATTTTTATGCATTTATATCAACTCCAGGAAAGCACGGAAGGGCCCAAGAATTAGAGGCAACATTCTAGAAAAGCTTCTATCCGTCCTGCCCAGAAGGTTTCCTTTACTTTGCAAAGAGGAGGTTGGAACATGGGCTCCAATGCCTGCAATCTCAGGTTTCCTTCTGCCCAAACAGCTTTCGGATTTTCCAATGAGCAAGATTTCTCTCTGACAAGTCTGAAGACGTTTCCTCTCCAGCTTATCAGTTAGGAAGATTATCAGAAGGTAAAACAGGCAAATGAAGTAGGTCTCACAAGAAAGGAAAAACCATGTTTACAGAGAGAGGGTTCCCGGCGGGGACCTGCGTCACTGAATGAATGAGCTGCAGGGGGCCACACAAAGGTATCGGGTTTGGGATGAGAATGAAGATGAGAAGACACAAACAGGTGGAGAGGAGATTCGGTTCTTGAAAGAGGAGAGGAGGAGGAGGAGGAATCTGACACTAAAAAAGTGAAAGAGAAAAAAAGGGTAAAGGCAAAAAAAAAAAACTTTAGAAACACAAAGAAAAAAATAAACTCGCTTTTAATATACTCACATAAGCTGCAAAGAAAATGAGGTCATGTAATACACAATCATTCCTCTACTTGACAATAGAATACAAGTGCTTTTCGAAGAAAACAAATTTGTTTTTCCGCTGGTTATTTAGTTGGTCCACAACACCACCATCGAATAAAAATAACTCAAGATTTACCTGGGCACAGATTCAGCAGTGTGATCTGCTGAAAATAATACATCTTTAGCCTACAATATCCAGAATATTCTAGAGGAAACAATTTGCTTTTCATCTGGAATGGGTTAGGACTTGACTTTACATAGATTTGTTTTTTATGAGAAGCACTTATATACAGTTTACTTGAAAATAAGGTTTTCCAAGGTGCAGAGTACCGAGGTGCAACACTATGTCATGGTCCCAGCATTATGACAAGGGGGTGCTAAGCTTTCTGGGGTGGTCTATGGTTGGGTGTGCTGGTTGGACACCTTGGGGGAAAAAGCCAGTATGGCTGCCTTCATGTCTTATAGCTGGAGGAACACATGGCAATGGGGAGACCACTGCAGCTGCAATGAGAAATTTACCCAAACAAAGTGGATCAAACTTTCAAGTTAAAAGACTTATTTTGCTTTGGATAGGTATTTGTTGATATCTACCAATTATTAAAGATAAATCCCCTTACCCCACATCCTGTTTTAAAGGCAAAGGAATAAAAATTTTTTTTTCATTCTCTATTTAAGGAACTACCAACTTATTCCAAAGACAAGACAATGACTCAGAGCTTCAAAGTAAAGACTGTCACTCTATCTGAGTCCTCTTTCACTGGCTGGGACCTATGAGATGGCAGAGGCGGGAGGAAGGGACGCCCAAGGTGATACCTAAGGGGAAGTCATGTTCTGAAAGGGGGGTTATTTTAGTTTGACATGTCTGTTTAATGAAACAAAATTCCACTCTATTAGCTACAGTGGACTTGGCCAGTTCAAAGCTTATGGACATGGGTGACTCCTCATGTTATTCCACAGCTCTGCATGTGGACAATTTCAGAGGTAGGAAACCGTATTCCAGTTAACCAACCACTTCCAAAACCATGAACACTGAGGCTGCACCGTATAAGGACCCAGGATATATAATAACAGTATTGTAGATTTTATATATTTTTAAGCTCTTATCAGTTAGACATATAACCTGAAATTTTAACAGGCAAAATAGGATATTAGGGACTTGTCTTAAAATACTCTAGGAAAAGCAAGTACGGGACAGGAGAGAGAGATCAAATGAGAATGCTGATTACTAAAACTCACTGGTGGGTAATGGGAATATTAGTATCTCTGTTCTGGCATATTAGAAATTTTTCCATAATAGAAATTTAAAAACAGAAAAAGAAAATAAATTTAGTTCTGAGGGAAAACAAAAAACAAAACAAAACAGATCCAAGAGGACTTGAGGCCTCACAGAGGAATCTGCCTGCACAGTGGGTGATCCTGGGCCTGTGCCCCAGGGTTGGCAGGATCTCGACAGCGGAAGTTCACTGTGGCTGTGGCTGTGCACCCTCACGGATGCTAACACCGCAAGGCTCTGCTTGTGTCGGACGCCTGTGCCCTTTAAAAGGGATTTAGAAAAGCAGTGAAGTGTTGGGCATGGTGCTGATGAGCTGCCACCCACCAGGGCTGGGTTCTCCCAGGCCACATTTGATCTCAGGGTCACTTCTGTTTCACTGGGAACCATTCTGACCTCGGATAAGATCCTTTTCTCTTTTCCTCTATAGCCCAGTTGCTTTTCTAGATGGGCAGTGCTGCAGTGGATATTCAAAATTAGCCAGGCTCCTTTAGCACATGAAAACTGTTCAAAGGCAAAGGGAGGAAAAATGACTGTGGTCATGCTGGATGGATAAGAATCCAGAAAGTAAAATCCATGTGTCATGGAATACTATATGACTGTAAAAAAGAATAAGGAAATTCTCCACGGATGAATATGGAGGCATCTTCAGATATGCTGTGAAGTGCAAAATGGCAGGTGCTCAAAAGCATATATAGTGTGTGATCGTTTATGTAAAGGGGCAGGGGAAATGATATATATGCTTGTTTGCATGAAAAAATACTGGAAGCATAAACAAAAAGCTAATAAATACGGTTGTCTTTAGGAACAAATAAGATGGACGGGCAGGGAGGGAAGCCAAGCTTCTCTACAGCACCTTGTGAATTAGTTTTTGGCTTTTGAATTATGTAAATGTAATTCCTCTTCAAATCAAATCAAGGTGAGGGAAATAAAAAATCTGTGGGTGGTTCGCAAGGCGGGCTCTCCACACAGGTGTGTGAATGAGAGCATCTGCCCGTTCTGTGACTGCACCATGAGCTGAACCACATGCAGTTGGGCTCTATTAATCAAGGTGGAGGCATTTTTCCCCATTTTACAGCAAGCCTTCCCAATGTGTAAGTTTCTTTGATTTACATTGTCATTTCAGAATGTTTTACCCTTGTTTACAAATGATAAGGCCTCCTAAAATGGCCTTCCATTTTTCTAATTCCCTGATCTCTTGGTTAAATTGCTGGCATGCAAATCAGTATTTTGCAGCTGCCTGGTTGGGTGGGGGGCGCTGTAGGGTGGTGGCAGGAGTCTCAGAGGGACTCTCGTGGATGACTCGACAGTGAAACCATCTGTGGCAGTGCCTGAGAGGCTGTGGCTTTCCCCTGTTGTTGAGGAAGGGCATAGGAGCCCACGGTCCTGACTCCAAACACCTAGGCTCTCCGGAAATGAATGGTGGCCCACCCGAGACACTGGCTGCATCAGTACCAATAAGCAGAGGGGGAGGAGGAAGACCCGGGGGCCAGGCCCAACCCAGGGCAGTGACACCCCAGACTGTGTCACACAGGCACATCTTCCCTAAACACCGTGGCATCTGAGAAAGCTAAACCTCAAGAGAGAGACTCTCAGGCACACTAGGGGAAATGTCCCAAGGGGCCACGGGAAGAATGAATAACAAGGACCTCATTTATTTTCTGACCCTATCTGTTCTCAATGTGATGTGGCATTAAAGTCTCGGGACTTCCAGGGAAATTAACGTCCAGGCCAGCTGGAAGGAAAGGGGGTCTGAATTTAGTGTGGCTGTTCTCACAGGATACTCAGGAGGGAGAAAAGTGGGGAGACAGTGCTGGGTGGCCACAGCAGCTGTTTTGAATCAGCCGAAATTGCTGCTGGTGCTATAGTGAGTTTCACTTCCTCTGATTCCCTGTGTCTGAGCCTCACCTTGCAGTGGCTAGTCCTGACAGCCTGACCTCTTTCCTACAATGACAGGGCCTAGACAGGTGCCTCAGCAGGAGCTGGGATGAGGCAGAACTCTGCTGTGCTATTCCAGCCAGGGTCTCTGCCTGGTGTGCAGTCTAAGCCCACCAACGACCGCTGACCTGTCTGGAGAGTGGTCAGGCCACTCCAGGGGGTGAGTTTCTCCATGGCTCAGTCCACATTTTAAGCAGCAGCTGCAAGCCAGATTAAACTGCACCAATTTACGATTTGTGCCGCTTCCAGCACCCAAAAATCTTTTGACCCAGGAGCCGCAGGACCTATGGATCTGATTTCTCAAGCTGATTTTAAATTTGGTAGAAGGGAGCCTAGGGCAGATATGCAATCTGCAAGGCAGCTGTGCGGGTGGGCCTGGCTTGAGCATCACATCTGGCTCCCGAAGGCCCTATCGCTCTTAGCCCACCTGGATAGGTTTTTCCAGGGGACAAGCCCTGGCAGTGCAGGACTCACAGCTGCTCTCGGGCTTTCTTCGGAAAGGTTCTGGCAGGAGCTGGGATGTGGCACAAGGACAAAAAAACAACCTCGTGGTCCCTTTCATGCAGCCAGCCCATAAAAGACCAGGCATACCCAGATAGAGATGAAGCCATACACAGTCCCCTGTGGGTGGGGGAGAAGGAACAGGAGCAGGTTCCAAATGATGCTCTAGAATGATTTTTGAGGCTCAAAGAAGAGCAGGTCTATGTGTTTTGTGGGTCTGTCAAGTCACCCAGGTTACCACTGAATCGTTGGTACAGGTTGGGCGTCCCTAATCTGAAAATCCAAAATCTGAAATGCTCTAAAATCCAGACATTTCTGAGTGCTGATACAACACAAGTGGAAAATTCCGCACCTGACTTCACGTGATGGGCCACAGTCAAAATGCAGTCAAAACTTTGTCTCATGAACAAAATTCTTTAAAATATTGTATAAAATTGCCTAAAATTAGGCTCTGTGTATAGGTGTATATGAAACAGAAATGGACTTTGTGTTTAGACTGGGGTGCAATCCCAGGATATCTCATTATGCTTATGTAAATATTCCCGAACCCAACACACTTCTGGTCCTGGGCATCTCAGGTAAGGGACACTTCACCTGGGTCACCGTTGTGGGGTCTACGCAGGTGGACTCACTCCCCTGTACTCAGGCGAATGTGGAACACACACATAACGAGGTGTGCAGATTTGCTCATAGGCAGGAAGTGCCTCGGGCCTCTGCGTGGGGACAGTGGAACCCACCTGCCACCCTGTGGGGTCTTGTGCTGGGTGTATTTGTGTTTATATGTGCAACTGATTAGAAAGCGAACCTTGCTTTCAGCGAGGTCTGAAACCCAAAGCGAGAGGGAGACACAGGGAAGCAGAGGGGAAACCTGATGGGGACAGAAACCACCTCATTTTAGTTTCAAACTTTAAGTTCCAAGAGCAAAGGGGGAAACCAATTTCAAAGCACTGGGCTGGGCAAACCATACGATTGGCCCCACCGAGAACAAACACTTGAGAAAGACACTGGAGAAATGCACCTCGATTGAGTGTTTAAACCATTTGTGCGAGAAATTTTTCCAACCTCAACCCGATCAGTCTCATCCCATGTCACTCGGTCCCAGGCCCCCACATTCTCCATGACACCATTTCGTCCCCTCTGGCTTTTTATTCTCACCTGTCTCGGGATCGCTGAAGTCTGGCAAAGTAATTGTATTAAGCTGTCGTCTGTCAGCAATGGTTCTATCTAAGAGGCTGCTCCCACGTCCAGAATCACTGCAAAACACAGCTACAAATGTCAGTCACCTGCAAGGTGGGAGGAGGGAAGGAAAGAGAGGCAACCTGTACCGACTCCTGAAGGCCAGTGAATACCTTCTGTGCGGTTTTTACGTTCTTCAGCATCTTTCTTATGAAGGAGGCATCCTGCTTCCTGGCTCGGCCTGGGCTGGGATTCCTTTCAGTGTTCAGTATCACAAACAGGGCATAAACCACACCCACAGACCCTGGCTAATTTTGGCCTCTTTTGTGTCATTAGAAGACACAAAAATGAAAACTTCAAGCTTCGTTTTCCATCCACCTTACAAGGGGAAACTGATTGGCATTAGCAACCTTAGAAAGTGAAGTCTCAGCAAGTGAGTCCATGAAGAGTTGTCTTCATGAACCAACGCTCCACACCCGTGCTTCTAAACCCAGGCTGCATGAGAAAATCACCCAGGACATCTCTAAACAACAGACACCTAGGTCCCACTGTGGACTGAACAAATCAAAACTCCTGGGCTGGTCGACATTTTTCACAGCTCCTCAGATGGTTCTAAGGTGCAGCTGCTGGATTTAAGGACCCCCAACCCCCCTTTCTGACTGTGATCACAGTCATGTGCTCCTCAGGGTCCCCAGAATGTAGGCCTTCGTGCTACATCGTGTGGTTAACTTTCCTGCCGGTGTACGAGCCCTGTCTAGTGTTCCTAAGCTGGAGAAAGCCAGCTGCTAGGGATATGCAGGGACTGGGAGAGAACATGGCAGGGTTTTGGTGGCAGCCTCCATAACACCACTCCTACCAGCTTCCTGCACTGCCCATCTCTACTGAGTCCCCTCTCCAGCTTGCGTCTACAAAACAGGCTTGGCATTGTTCACCTGGTAATGCCACACGGGAGACCACAGCGGGCCTAACTGGGAAACGGTTAAGGGATCTCAGCCAATATGGATTTCTTTTTTTAAATTCTGGGAAGCTTGTAGGTAAACACTATTGCTTTTTTCCTGTATCATGATATCCTATCAAAGCAGCTCCAAAAAGAATCACATCTGTCTCTTGAAGTTTGAATCTTCAATGCTTTTCTTTGAATCTATTTTCTTTTCCAATCTGGGGGCTTTAAGAGTGATTTTTTTGTTGTGAAGAAGTTCAGATTCTACAATAAAGGGACACAATTTCCTTCCTTTATGCAGCTGTTGCTAAAGCAGTACAAACAAGATTTGGCATGAAACTTAATACAGTTTACAGGCTGCAATTTCCACATCCAGCGATTTCTCTAACTACATTAGAGAAATCCACAGGAAGCAGAAGGAAACTTCCTTCAGGACAGACTGTTTGTCAGCCTATACTTATTACATCATCTCAGACATGTTTTTTGGAAACTGCTCTTTTAATTGCTTCTATAACTGAGAAACAATACATGTCTCCGAACAGAAGACAACATAAAAGTACACGCACATTTCCATTCATCACAATGCTGACTGAGTATTTCTAGCGCAGGTCTGTCCAGGTAGCCTTTTTCACATAAATGCTCCTAAGTGCAAATTATCTGAATATTGCAATGGCAATCCACTTAGGAGTTTTTCAGAAGATTTGTCTCAAAATACAGTGAAATGATGACATATTATTCACCACCTTGGGGATTCCAAGACACGCGATGAGGTACTGGCATTGCAAAGGAAGGATTTGCCTGGGTTTCTGGGGGTCCAAATCTGAGGTTTGTTTCAGACATTCTCATCTTCCAGGCTTCCTATCTCACCATGTTTCGGTGCTGTCACTAATGAGGAGGTCACTTTGGGCGAAAGGCAGCTTTCCCTGTGCCTCACTGACTTCCCTGATCAGATGAAGATAAGGATTGTTGTCCTACACAGAACTGTGTGAGGATGACATAAGGTCATATAGATGGAGCATTGTGAAGACTTACAACTTTTAGGTACATGCCAGGTGTGTATAAACCCACATACCTACAACACACATCTGAGGTTAATATGGCCAGTCAATTCCTGCAGCCAACTTATCCCTAGGCTTCTGGTGCAATTGTAGGAGGTACGGGGAAGACGAGTTAAAATGTTAGAAACCCCAAACAAAACCATCATCTGAATTTCGAACCTCACCCCCTGACAATGGCACAGGATCCACATTCCCTCCACCAGCTGGGAAACGGCGTTCAGTTACATCCTTAGTGTGTCTGCCTTAGTTCCCTCTGAACACAGTGTGTGCACAACAATCCACTATTCAACATAGAGATGCTTTTGTTTCCACATTGAATGTTTTCTCTCTAAAAATAATTAGGGCTGGGCACAGTGGTTCACGCCTGTAACCTCAGCACTTTTGGAGGCTGAGACAGGAGGATAGCTTGAGCTCAGGAGTTCAAGATCAGCCTGGGCAACATAGCAAGACTTCATCTTTATTAAAAATAAAAAAATAATTTAGGCATGGTGGTGTGCACCTGTGACCCCAGCTATCTGAGAGGCTGAGGCAAGAGGATGGCTTGAGCCTGGGAGACAGACCGCAGTGAGCTATGATCATGCCACGGCACTTCAGCCTGGGCGACAGAGCAAGACTGTCTCAAAAAAAATAAAAAGTAAAAAAAATAAAAATTAAAAATAATTAGGTATTTGTGACCGATTAAGAATTTTACTGAATGCTTGAAGCAATTTTTAGTTCTTCATTTACATGGTACAGAGTCTTCACCAATCAAGATTTGCATTTGACCCCTAGAATACTGGACAAGGGGCAAGGAGAGGCCTTGAGCAGCCCTGAGTCTCCCTAACTTGCTCGCTCTGGCCAGTCTCTCAGGCAAGCTGGAAAGTCACCTTCCTCTCTCCCTCTGCGACACATCTGCTCGGGCACTTCTGTGAACCACCCATTTCCTCCTCATGGCCCAGTCACCTTGCCTCTTCTCTGCCAGGCCCTTAGGCTGCCAGGAGCACTTCCCAAGGTAGGAGGCAGGAAGGGAGAGAAAACTACTCCTGGTGAGTGCTGGTAGTAGAGGGAGAGAAAATGGGAAGGACCCCAAATCCAGAGTATGTAAGTAGGGGATGCCCACATGTGTAGATGCACACATGCAGGGACTTCTATTCCTTATAACCACTGAATTGTAATGAGACTTAAAGTTATACTGGCCATTAGAAGCCTCTCTTGGAAATCCTCTATCTTCCACAGCCACACAGAGGTTAAACACAAGAGGCTTGGTGGTGGTGGGGTGGGCTCGGAGTCAGAACGCTGGAGCTCTTGTCTCAGCTGAGCCTCTTCCCAACTCCTGGAATAGTGCCTGGCACACAGTAAATACTGCACCTAAAAGAAGGGCCTCGGCTAGGGAATCAGAACAGGGGCAGATCGGGGAGGAACTTCTGTTTTTGGAGGCCTGGATTATAAGAGTCAAGGTAAGTTCCCAATATCCTGGAGCCTCAATTGTCTCATCAGTAAAATGGGTATGAGATCATATGACTTTTGCCCATTTTATGGGGCTGCTTCAAAGATGGAATGAGGATATGCTTTATAAAAAGAAAAGCTCCACCCAAATGCTGGTGACTGTAAGGATGAAATGGGATCTCTGACTCCTAACTGAGGTTAGAGCAAAAAAATGTGAATGTGAGTATGTGTGTGTTTAAATGCTGTTTGTTGGCAAGTAACTGAAACAGGACTTTGAATCATCTGCAGATGTCACCTCATGGGTACATGACGGAGATGGGTCTAGTAGCAGTGACAAGAGGGGAAAAGAAGTGGTTAACAATAAAAAATGAAAAGAAACTGGTTGTCAGCTCAAGAGAGGCAGCATGCTAGTGTGGAGAGAGCTTTGATGTTAGGCCTGGGGCTGAATCACTGTTCTGCTACATATTCAGTTGGAAAAACTTAGGCGAGTTATTTAGCCACTTTTATCTTCAATTTTATTTTCTGTAAAATGGAAGTAATGGTAGCTATCTTGCAAGGCTAATGTAGGGATTGAAGATAACACATCAATGGCCTAGTACAGTGCTGGCATGGAGAAGGTTCAAGAAACACGGTTATTACCATCCCTGGCTGAAATGCTCTGAGATTCAGTTCAGGGAGCCTGCTGGGACCTTCTGGTGAGATTCTAGTGAGAATTCACACTGTCTTGAGTGGCCAGGTCAACATGCACAAGGACTGAGGGAGCCTTACACTTCACCCAGGGAGAGGAGACAAAGCATGAGACAGATTTCTATCCCAACTGCAAGCAAAACTGCAGACCGAGGGAAATAGAATCCAGGCTTCTGAAATGACAAACACCTCGCCAAATGTAAGAGAATGCCACCCACCATTTTGCTCACAGCAAGAGACGCATCTCCAACTGCAGGTGGAACACTATTTGCAAGTTTTCCAACGCTCAGTTTAGCGACTAGCTCAGTGTAATTTTTTTCCCCCTCTTTAAGCAAAAGTTGGGAAGAGGGAATGGGTTGCTGAGAATACGAAGCTAGAAGCTAGGGTCTGTTCTCAATTTGGCCACTCACTCCCTGCTACTGCCCACATCTTCCTCGTCTCACTGCCCTGGAGGCCTGTGCAGAGCCTGGGGTGGATCTGGAAGGGGGTGGGGAAGACTGGGGAACTGGCAGGTTGAGCAGAGGGCTCAAAACAAACCCAGCATGCTCAGAAGCAAGGAAGCCGGGACGTCAGCACGGACCAGCTCCGGGGAGAAGCCAAATGCGGCCTGCCAAAATGCTTTCTGCTCAGTTTTCATTTTATTTTAAAGAAGGCATGATTCTTAGGTGCTTGTTCATGTGATTCTACCCTCCTCTAAATCCCTGTATGCCCTGATCCCAGCCTCTAGGCTGCTGGAGCCGCAGCGGCCCCACTCCGGAGCGCTGCAAGGTATGTGTCCCCCAAAAGACACAGCCCTTCCTTCAGGCTTTATTCTGTTGCCAGGGTCACCTCTTACTGAGCAGGCTGTGGGGGAAGACTGCATTTACACAATGATAAAGGCTACAGGAGAAACATTTATTTCTACCCCAGAGAAAATCAAGTTAAAAAACCAGACAGGACACTCCTTAATAAGGGGCTGCGCGATTCACCAGCCCTCCCTCAAGGCTTTGTGGGGAGCTGGAGGGGGAATTCTGAGTGACCGGTGGGGCCTCTACCGCCCACCCCATCCGCCAGTCCCCACCAGACACTGCCTGGAGCCAGGGTCCTCCCCACTCTGGCCCTGAAGGAACCTTCAGGAAACGGAGGAAGTATGGACACAGCCCAGGCATTTGGTTAAGTATTTTTAAAAAGCTTTCCAATTCTGCTATTTTTTTTCTCCTCACATTCAATATTCTTGGTTGCTAAGTGGGAGGGAATGTGGGGAGGTGGGAGAGGTGTGGGGAACTGAGGGGAAATTGGCAACACGAAGCTGATGGGTTTATTTTTTCATTTCTAAAGGGGGTACAGGCAAAGGAACGCGCTCTGGCGCCGAGGCAACCTGCCTGGGCAGCATCTCCCGCTGGCTGGTTCGGAGGCAGACTCCCCCAAATCCTGAAGATTTCATAGGCCAGGAGTGGGGGCTTTCGGGGGAGATAAATGTGGACAGTTTCTATTTTTGCTCCCAGACTTAGAAATGTAGAATTTTTAAAAAATTAAAATGATCTTTATTTTGAGAACATATCCACAAAAGGGAAGAGGCCAGTCTCATGATTACCTGTCACCAAGCGAAGGGCGGGTGTGCCCGGCAGCACAGCGCCGCGCCATTCCTGTGCCTGGGAAGGGGACTCCCAGCTTGAATCGGGGGGACGGGGCGGGGGGACCTGGGGCTGCTTGGGGGAGGGCAGGGCAGGGGCTGGACAGCACATGGCTTTCCAGGCAGAGTTCTCTTCCTTCCAGGTACACAGCCCACAGGGCCTGGGGTCACAGGTCTGTCTGTCAGTTTCCAGGGGGTCCATCCCCTTAACAGGGCCCTGACTTTGAACATTTTTTTTTAAACTGCAGAAACGTTTGTAAAGCAAAATCTCACAGGGAACCACATCTCTGTTCTGCTGCTTCCGTAGCCCTCCCTCCCTGCTGGTGTCTGCAGACCACGGCCACCAGCCCACTGCCCACCTCACCCTTAGTACTCATTTACATTTTAGGTGACACGTTTTTAGGCCCCTGATTCTTAAAAGCATGATATCAGTTGCACAGGAAGGTAAAAAATACTCTGAGTGTATGAGCAGTTGTGTGAATTCACTTGAATCATTACATCCCTTCTCATTACATGACTTCCTTCACTTAGTAATCTAAACACATGCAAGGGAAAACTGTGCAAGACTTGGAAATGGGCAAATAGGTTATTGGGTGTCCGTCCGTGGAATGCGGGGGGTTGACCAGCAGACCTTCCTGGGGTTATCTGACTCTAAAGGGGCAGGCACTGTTGACTCACTTCCCATTGACTGAGCTACTTTACAGCTCTGTAGGGGTAGAAATTAACCTGCAGAAAACTGATAATAAGGCAAGTGAATTTTGTTTGTAGGGGAGAGACAATTGATGTTTTCACCCTGTAGTAAAGAACCCCAAACGATATCTTTCATCGTCTTACAGAATGCTGTTTTTGTATCTACTTGCAAATCATTCAGCATTCCTGCCTATGAGTATCTGTTCTTCAGACTCTTCTGTGAATAGGTCTTAACATTTTCCGGGTTCCTGCATGAGTTAATAAGGCAAATAAAATCTTTGACATGTGTGTATTTGATAGTTGTATGCGTCATGATTTTAACTTTTTCACAGTGATCTTTTATCAGGCTAATAGCCACTAGCATGCGGCCTGTTGTCTGTGCAGGTCTTTTAAATATTACTGCAGGAACCCCAGCTGGAACACAGAAGAGACTGGTCTGTACATAAATTACCAGAAAGATAAGACTTGTCAAAGGAGTTAGGTAAACGGATGGCAGAGAGAAACTGGATAGAGATCCATTGCGAATTGAGCCTGGTGGGTCACTACGGCAGTGAAAGCAAAAGAAACCCAGGATCTGGAGGCTGCATCAGCCACTGGGACAACAGCACCTTAAACATGGAGTGTGAAGCTCCACTGCTATCATCTGCGACTTTTGGGGGCCTGGAGGTGCACAGGGGTGACAGAGTTAATGCCTGCTGAATGCCAATCAGAGAAGGCACTGATAGGCAGGGACCCATGCAAAAGCCATGCAAAGCAGGCCTTGCTGGCCTCTTACCTGGGGTTGGTGAGGTTGTAGCAGGATTTCCATATCTGCAGCATGTGCTTACAAGTCAGGAGTGCCTCGTCTGGGCCCCGGCAGAGTGACTGCAACTTCACTTTGGAAAACAGTAGTCTGCAGTGGGGAGACAAAGGGAGAAAATACTGCAGCTCAAGCCACAGAGTCCCCATCCCAACAAGACAAGCGGTGGGCTTAGACCCAGAAGCAACTGTACTCATTTCAGAAACTATCCACATGTGTGGTCCAAGGAAAGCGGGATTCCAGAACTCCTGGCTCAAGGTGTTACTTTGCATAAGTCTCGCCACTAAGGCAAATGCAAGCACGATGTGACTATTTGTGGTCAGGCTGAAAGCATTAGCGTGGCCAATTTTATTCAGAACACAGGGAATTTACTAAAAGCGTGCTTTTTAGAACCAAACCAATTTATTTATGAAACCTCAAAAACTCATTAAAAGAGAACTTGGTTTATTTACAGAATTACACAGGAGATATGACTCAGTTGATATACATATCTACAGATAACCCTCCACAATGATGCTCACCGTCCTGTGAGCTTCAAAAGCCTGAGCGGAAGTCCCATGAAGAAGGGCAGCCTCTGGCATAGGCCGTCAGCTCCTGCATCGTCCCATGCCTGCTACTGAGGGCCTAAGGCTCCTTCCGCAATCACCTAGGTCTCTCTTCCCTATTTTTTGTTACCATCAACTGCTCCACCCTCCGCCAAGACCTTCTGGGCACTAAGCTCAGAATGTTCTCGCTTTCGTGGCCCCTCAGGGTAATGCCATTTCCAGATTCTACTTATGTTTCTCTGCGGACATCAGCCTAGGTGCCTGTAGACATCAGCTCTCCTGGCCCTTGCACTTGTCACCACTATCCTAGTAAAAGTCCTAGTACGAGCCCAGCTTCCTTCCTTGTGTTCTTCCTGTCCCCTGACTTACCCAGCTCTCACACATCTTATTATAAAGATCTCCAAAAATCATTCTTTCCCCCAAGATGGAGTCTCGCTCTGTCACTCAGGCTAGAGTGCAGTGGCATGATCTCGGCTCACTGCAACCTCTGCCTCCTGGGTTCAAGTGATTCTCCTGCCTCAGCCTCCTGAGTAGCTGGGATTACAGGTGCCCACCACCACGTCTGGCTAATTTTTGTATTTTTAGTAGTGCTGGGATTATAGGCGTGAGCCAATGTGCCCAGCCCCCAGAAATCATTTTTGTTCCCACCTCCTTTTTTTTTTTTTTTTTTTTTGAGGACGGAGTCTTGCTTGCAATCTTGGCTCACTGCAAGCTCCGCCTCCTGGGTTCACGCCATTCTCCTGCCTCAGCCTCCCCAGTAGCTGGGACTATAGGCACCCGCCACCACGCCCAGCTAATTTTTTTGTATTTTTAATAGAGATGGGGTTTCACCGTGTTAGCCAGGATAGTCTCGATCTCCTGACCTCGTGATCCGCCCGCCTCGGCCTCTCAAAGTGCTGGGATTCCAGGTGTGAGCCACCACACCCCGCCTGTATCTTGTCCTTTAAGGCACTCCACCAACTAGCCACTCTTCTTTCACCATCTCATCCGACTGGACCCATTACTTCTGCCAATATAGGCCAAATGCTACCTTTCTGGCACAACTCTATGGCTATACGTGCCACGTCCCCAATTGTAACTTCCACTCATGCGCATCTTTCTTTAATTCTTCCCAAACCCAGCTAGAACCCCACTTAAATAAGTAAGTCTTCTGTCAATACGAGTTTTATCCCTTTATCTTCTCTACTCAGTATGTGCCATATTAGCTCATGTTTGCTGTTAATACTAAAAAGAAGAAAAAGAGAGGGAGGAGCTCCTGCTGACTGAAGGCATCCCATGTGCCAGACCCGTGTTTGGCACTTCACACGTGGTCATGTCCTTGGAAGAAGCTGTCAAGGCAGGTGGTGTCTAACCCTCTTCGACAGATGAGGAAACCGAAGCTCTGGTGCCCTTTGGTTGTTTTCTGGATGCGATTTTCTCCCTGAGGACAAGAGCCCTGACATCTCCCTCTGCCTCTGTAGCCTCAGCTCCAGTACCAAGAACTGTGCTCTGAACTCATGGGGCCTTAAATCAGCATTTACTCACCGACCACTTTTTCTATAAACCACAGAAGATAAAGCAAGGTGTTTTAGAGATTTCAGTTAGACATCCAGGAGAATTCCTTCACCCTGCATGATGTGAGGTCCGCATTCAAAGGTACCTTAGAGGAGGAAAGTCTCTTTTTCATGTGTGAGAGGTGGAATGAAAGTGGTCCTAACCCATCACTGCCCAAGTTCGGGATAGGTTCACACCAAGCACCCCCAGCACCCCCTCCAAATGGAAGTCCAGGGCGGTGTGGTGCTCCCAGTGGGTCCAGGGCTGCGGCCTCCCCATGCCTGGGCTTGCAGAAGCCTGGAATGATGGGATGAGGGCCAGGTATAGGGAGGGATGTAGTCCCTGATCTACAAGAAGGTGGGCATAAAGAGCGAGGCCAGATGTGAGAACAGGGCTCAGCTTCTGCTCAAAAACATCTCAAGAAGTGGAAATGCTTTGGAAGCCTTACCAAGACTGCCTAAATGGGATGGCAGGCGCTCAGGGTGCCTCTGGGGGGATTTAAAGACACCAGAAGCTGACTCCTGCTGAAGCCTGCCCGAGTCCAGAACATGATGGGAGTACTTTTCCACCAGAATCTCCCACCAAACTGGGGTCAACTAAGGGAGTTGACAAAGGAAGGAGAAGCTGCCAAATAGGTCACCATTGGGTAGCGAGGGTGAGGAGTGGTTGCCAAGCAATTGCGGCAAGGGGAGGCCCCACAGAGGACTGTGGGGGGTCCAGGAAGCCTTGCACGTGCTGCACAGGCTGGAGCTCTCTGGGGGCCATGCCAAGAACTCTCCTCCAAGGGCACCTGCCTCCCAGAGGAGGTGCCTGCCCCACAGCAGGCAGCGGGGTGCCTCTAACAGCAAAGAACTGTGATTCCTTTAACTGTACCCAAAGGAGAGAATGCCAGAGTGCGTCTCTAAGCCTCAGCTTGGGGAAACAGTTTTGAGCAAGCCTTCTTGGCTGGAAAAAGAACTTCTAATTAACATAAAATAACAGCTTTCAAACACTTGACTCAGGATATGGAGTTGAAAAGGTGTGGGCTTGGATTTCAGAGAACCAGACAGGAAGGACAATGGTGGAGTGGCTGAGCACAAACGATGGAAAAAAGCACTTGGAAGACCTCTCAAGAGGAACAGCATGAAGAGAGGCTGGCAGAGAAAAAGAGCCAGGGACACAGCAGGGACAAAGAGGAAAGCCTGCAGCTGCTGCCCAGGTACGGGTTCGGCCGGGACGATGGGCAGAGGCCACGCGGGTTCGGCCGGGACGATGGGCAGAGGCCACGCGGGTACGGCCGGGACGATGGGCAGAAGCCACGCAGGTATGCCCAGGACAATGGACAGAAACACCTGCCCCGCCCGTCACCAACACTCCCTGGGATGCCCAAGGGAAAGCAGGAACAGAAGTTGCCGCCTTTCCATCATTTCCCCAAACCTCAGCTTGTTTACAAGATACAAAACAATACTGAAAACAGAAGCAGTGATGCTCGTCATCCTATTTGCCAAACCTGCTTACACACTTCAAGACTGTTCAGAAACATCTGGCTGGGTATATGTTACATTAGCACAGAAAGGAAGAGCACACAAACAATGGTCAGCATTCATTTTCTGTGGCTGACACCCAAAGATATAGATTCAATGTGCTGAGGAAACCCTGAGGCAAGAAGAAAGTTACGGAAAAACTTGCGAAAAGTTAACATTTAATACATTTCAATATGTCTAACTGTCAACATGATGAAGAGGGCAGAGGAGACGAGGGTGAGACTCTGAGCTAGCCACACAAGTTCATGCATTTAATTTTTTTTTTTTTTTTGAGACAGAGTCCCGCTCCGTTGCCCAGGCTGGAGTGCAGTGGTGTCATCTTGGCCCACAGTCAACCTCCACCTCCTGGGTTCAAGCGATTCTCCTGCCTCAGCCTCCCAAATAGGTGGGACCACAGGCACATGCCATCACACCTGGCCAATTTTTGTATTTTTAGTAGAGACAGGGTTTTGCCATGTTGGCCAGGCTGGCCTTGAACTCCTGACCTCAAGTGATCCACCTGTCTCGGCCTCCCAAAGTGCTGGGATTACAGGCGTGAGCCGCCATGCCCAGCTATGAATCTAATTTAAAATATATATATATATTAGCCAGGCATGGTGGCTCATGCCTGTAACCCCAGCAGTTTGGGAGGCTGAGGCAGGTGGATCACTTGAGCTCAGAAGTTCAAGACCAGCCTGGGCAACATGGTGAAATCCTGTCTCTACAAAAAATATAAAAATTAACTAGTCATGGTAGTGTGCACCTGTAATCCCAGGTACTCAGGAGGCTGAGGTGGGAGGATTGCTTGAGCCCTGGAGGTGAAGGCTATAGTGAGCTGAGATCATGCCACTACACCACTCTAGCCTGGGTGAAAGAATGAGACTCTGTCCCCCTCCCCCCAAAAGAATATTTTGTTCACAGACCCATTGAAAACTTACAGAAAATTAATGAAGGAAAGAAGAACCTTGCTAAAGTACCAATCAGATCTCATTACTGATGACCCAAACCTAGCATCTCATACAATGCCTTTGCTGTCTGGCTCCTGTCCACCCACATGATTAGCTACCAAAGGATTTGTTCATTGCCCATCACCTACGCTCCCACTCGAGCTGTGGTCAACTTCCCCTACGTGTCACTCTCCTCCATGACCCTGGCTGTTTGCACATGCTGTTCCCTCTGTTTGGAATACCCTTTCCATCCATTTCTGCCTTTTAAGCATCTATTCATCCGTCAAGATTCAGGTCAACTAGCAACCCCTCACTGAAGCCAGACTTAAATAATAGGAGTTAAACCTTCCAAATGGAAACATAACTATAAAAAACACAAGAGCTCACAACTGGGAAATCATAAGCTACAAGCCAGGAAGCTTCTGCTTCGAAGACAAGCAAAATAATAACAATAATAACAGCAGCTGCCAGATACTTTAAATATTTAATTCCAGATTCTGAACGACAACCTGCAAATGAGGCTGAGTTAAGTAATTTGCTCAAATTAACACCACTAGTGATTGGTA